GGGGACAAGGGATGAATAACAAAAAGTTGCCAAGAAAAGCCAATGTTTTCTTCTGTCAGACAGTGAGAAGCTGAAAAGCGAAGCAACTTAGTTTTTTTCGTCGAAAAGAGCTCTTGAAATAAATGTTGACGGGGGATGCGCTTAAATATGCAGCTCTGTTAAACTGCAGAGCACGTACGTTAGCACTGGCTTGGCATGAGGTGAGTAGAGAGAATGTTGCAGAAAAAGGCTAAAAGCACCGCGATACAGCACATTTTACGATCACTTCTCCGAATTGCGCGCAAAAAATTCCCCATGTAAAAATGGTTATCTGTGCATATTCAAACCTCGATCGGGCAGATCGAGGATCGGCCATTCCCTGCTACACTGCTGGATTAAATAGTTAAATAGTTTAAAATAGTTTGCATTTTTCAGTAATTTGAACTCACGATTGAACGTCCTTTAAGTTATTCAGAGGGCATTTATGGGAGTAAAGGCTTGAAAGAGTTAAAGTTTTTGACATTAAAAACGGAATTTTAAAATATTGTGGAATCGTTTGTTTAAATTCGTGTAGAATATACAATTTACCTGATGTGTTGGACTCTTCTAAAAGCAGACTAATTAGTATGGACATATTTATCCAGGCTGTGGACAGCCAGAGGCTTCTTAAAGCAACGAAGTGAATACTTACAAAAAAGTGGTTAATGGTTTACAGGTATTCACCTTGGAATACTTACTGAATGACGGAGCTGCAAGTAGCAGTGTTAAAATACACTTTTTTCACTGTTTTACGACAAAAACGTCTCAAGGTACTCAGTACAAAATGCGATTATTCACGAGGAAGCCCAGAAAGCAACCGTCTGGTGAGGCTAAAAAATACAAAAATAAAAGGAACAGCATCCTTTCAATTATCTAATTAATCGTAAGCCACACAAATATGTTCTGTTGGCAGGTATTCTTTACAGGAAATTTGGTTTATTTCGTTATAACCTTACATTTTATTAGTAGCCAGGTCAGATCTAAATGATATAATGTATACCAGAGCATCCTACAAAACTGTGGCTGGTATTTCGCATTTGTGATTTGCCGTGGAAGTAAACAAGTCCATACTTGTGGGCACAACAGAACGAAAACGTCGCTTTGACCACTATTTGAGCTCAGATTGCCAAAGTCCTCAATTTCTTAAGAATATTTTAGTATCTGGTTATTTGGACGGAACTGATATCAATCAGAAAGCATACATGGATCCTTAGTGCATATATTTGAAAGCCGTAAGCTGCGTTTTACTGAACCTTTGTGGGGAAAACTGCGATTTCGAAACGAGCTGCCCTATTAGAGAAAAAAACCTACCGAGTTTCTGGAAATCGGGGCTTATCGTTTTGAAAGAGGCTGGCCTACGTCCCCAATTAACTGACGTAAAAATGACCCCTCTTTATGCAAGTATCCGTGGATATAATGTCACCAATTTTATTTGCATAAAATTCTTCAGGATTTATGTTTACCCCCTAGTCTTCAGTGTAAGTCATTCGCTCACTGCAGGAGATATTGGGGAGTACAAAAACGTGGGGCGCTTTTATGCTTTAAGTCTTGTTGTTTGTGAAATGTTTATGTTTGTTCCGTTTGAAATAAATGTTTTGTCAATCTGTCAGGTCTTGTTTTGAATTTGGTATATCTTTTGTTTTTTAGATTGGCCCTTAAGTGGGAGACATCAAATCCGGCGATAGTAATACTCATAATTGTATGCTGCATTAATTGCACAAGCAAAACAACTCAACAATACCCAACAAAACAATATGTTATATTTGTCCGTATACCTTAGACGACCGCATGTGCCAGCGTTGAATTGTGAAATATTGATCGGGCGATGTCGACCTCTCCAATGACCATTGTTCGGGAGGGCCAGAAGAGCTAGGTAATGACATTTTATTTTTCATCATTGAGGCTAATCCCCGTTAGACCATCAGAAACACCGCACTAATCATGACCTACTGTTCTAAACCATCTTTGCTTGAAGACGATTGTCAGTAGACATAAAATTGGGGTTGCATGCAAACTTCCAACAGCAAAAGGATTAGGGAATCATTTTCTCCTAGGACTTTCGCAGGCGAAGAGAAGTAGAACTTGCACGTTAACTATAGGAACAAGCACTTATGATTTTCCATGATGCAGACCAGTTCCGAAACCAGTATTGGGTCCACATTCCAAGAAAGTCTTTATTATGTTTGATGGAGCATGCTTGACACACGCCACTTTGACCTACCGGGACATAGTCCGACCATAGTCCGACATTCAGTGTCAACTAGTGCAACTTATGAATCATTTTTTTTGAATATTTGGCTTTATTCAATAGACAAAACTGTCATTCTACTCCATGACAACATGAGAGCGCATTCGGCTAGGCAAAACAAGAAAACGATCCGACATTCAGGGTTGCACCTCCTTTTCCCCATGCCCCACATTTAACTGATTGTGCGCTGACTGGCAATAGTCCGCTCAGATGTCTCAGCATTTCATGCGTAGAAAAACTTTTCCAACTATCGATGATCCCAAAACTGGGTGCTCGGAACCCTTTGTATTAAGGCCAACTTCCTTTTATAGAGGTGGTAATGAAAACATGGTTTCAGGATGGGCGAAAGGGATAGGCAGCAGTGACATTTTTATAACTCATTGAAAATAATGATTTTGCCAGTAAACCGTTTTCCTCTTTTTGATTAAAAAGTATGTTACTTTCCGGTATCTCTATTAATTTACTGCCTCGGAATTTAACACGGCTAACATTAAAGATTGCACAGGACCCTATAAATAAATATTTTCTTTCGATTTTTTTTCATCTAGTTGGACTAGGACTGCAGTTAATGCGTGCACAAATGTGTCCGCGCTTATCTCAAAAGGTGACCGACCAACGCTATGAGTACAGTTCGGAGGCTTAGTTTTCAACAGCAAGTTATAAACGCATATTAGCATTCTTCATAAATAAGGAAGTCACGTTCCAACGGTTTTGCTTGACATAACATAAGGTACGATTACAATCGGATACTTACTAAAATCAAAATTATAGCTTCCAATAATAGGACCTAATTTAAGGCCTCGGATACCATAAAGCTCTATGTAACTGTTATAATTTACATCCGGCTGAATAAAAGAAAGTCCAAAGTGTTCAAAAAGAAATCATTGCTTGTTATACTGATTTGTCATATTTTTTCAAATGCGAAACGGCAGTGCAATTCTTGCGCTATCATTCATTTTTTCACCCGTAGCATGGAAACGCTATTATTAATGAATATCCTGCGATATATTCAAACACCACACCTGAACCTGGCTCCAAGCGTATCAATCAGATATAGTGATTTCGTGACTCCTCCCATGCCACATGGAGGAAGGGTTCGTTTTGTCTACCCTGTGCACTGTTTTCACGGATGCATTTACAATGTTTACTTCCAGTCAGTGGTCAATGCCTAGGAAACTTTCCAGACTGATTTAACAAGCATCAAGCCAATATGCTAATCACTTGGGCGTGTTTCTATGTCCAAGAGCAATTCCCCTGTTCTTTCGGCACTTTTCATTTGTACATTTCCTGTGCTATTCTGAACATCCAAAACGTTCAGTGGCTAAAAAGACGAAAATTAGTTTTTTTCATATTTCACAACCCTTTGTCCCCTAGTGTTTAGAAACCGCGGAAGAAATATTAACAAGTGAGAATGCGCATTGCGTTCATCGGAAGCTACATATTATAACGCATTAACCGAGGCAGTAGGACTGAAAAGGCAAAACAGTTCCGACAATCTTATACACCGTTCTGTACGACTGTGCCTTATGATGGTCTTGAGTTAACATCTAAGACGTCGGAGTAATAGACTTTTTGCTCTGGTGATCGCATGTTCTACTAAATATTTTCTTATCTTCTCCGCCAAGGCTCGATAAAGTGAAACCAAAACATGGCAACGGGAAGTGAGTGACTTAAAGCGTTCACTCGCCCTGAACTTTTGCACTATGCATCCAGTTGACACGAGAGGGTCGACGAAGAGCCACCAGTTTTTCAACTTCCTCGGAAATTAATGGGTTAACTTTGGTCAGGTCATTCAGAATTGAACTTTTTGGTCAGTTCGCACGATAATATGGCACTTTGAGCCGACGTCCATCATCCATGTCAGAGAAACCTCTTAATATTTATAAAATGCGAACAGACAGCCCCTGACATGATCAACAACACTTATAACACAGGTACAAGTTAAGAACCCAAACATTTTTTCGCCGATATTTTGCCGCTGCATCGCGCATCTGCGAAGACTTCAGCTCCTCAGTGGGTGCTCGGCGTTTTCGCGTCGGTTCTAGTCAACAGTGGCTTTTTGTTATTATAATGTCTTGATTATCTCGGAAAATTATGCTTTACCTTGCAGTAAGTCATTTTCAATGAAGAGATCTGCCGATGTGATCGGGGATAAGGTCGAAACTACACACAAACTATATATTTCTCCTTTGTCGACATCTTCGTTTTCTGACCGTTTTAAGGTTTCTGCCAATCTTAATTAGGTAAAAAACAATACTTCAGGATACATTCAAACAAACTCTCCATACATCTTTATATTAGGAGGTAACAGTTTGTAGTTAGAATCCCAATTTCTGCTGAAGATTGCTATTTTCCGAAAAAAACTACTCAAAGGTAATCACACTGGAGCAGGAGAAGGAGATATGTCACAAACTCTATCCTGGCACAATGTTAATTTCATGCGCAATCCAGGTGTGCATTTGATCTCTAGCGTCTGACGACGGCAGCACACATCCATAGTCATTAATTAGAACTATTTAGAATGAAGGATGAAACAACACGTGTGAACTTTAAGCCCGGTGATCCAGAATCGGGTTCCCACGAGATTTAAGTGCGGAACAAAAATCACACATGCAAGAAAACTGGTCATTTTTAAAACGCATCTTTCTGCGTAAAGTGTTGCATCCGGAGTCAAATTTAAATTGCATGTAGGTTTACAGCAATATTTAAAAGGAAAAAAATATTTGAAGGAAATCTAGACTGGCGTAGCAGTCATGTTATCACGAGGTTGGGGCAAATTAAACTTTTGCTTTTTGACACGGTGCTTCAGCAGACCAATTTTATGACCCAGCCATTTGCATTTTGAGACCACCTCTTCTTGCATTAGTTTAAAACACATTGCGAAGACCGAGAGACCAATGGCCACATATAGCGTGATGATGATCAACTTCTCTTGTGGATTGGTTGAATCGACTTTTGTGCCTAAAATGCAAAATAAGTCGTTTGAGGCGAACTGAAAAAAAGACATCCAGAAATAAGAAATCATACCTGAGTTTTCCATGAAAATGACGCATTCCTCTTTACGGACTGTGTAAAGTTGGACATTCGCAAAGCCGAGCAAAGTTACTCAAATAGGACCAGCTTGATTAACTTCCAAAATCGCACCTGCTGCTCAACTGACATACCCAAAAAGCGCTCTTTTGAGTCCTAGTGACAAGAACCCCCTGATATCATTAAATTGATCCGTGCATTGTCACACATTTTCAAGATGCGTGACGGTATTTCGCAATGAGAAATGTTTATTTTCCCGCATATTTTAGCCTTCACAAAGCACTTGCTTCCAAATTCTGCTTTTTGATTTCCTCAGAAATTAACTGCGAACTTGGAGTAAATCAGTATACTTTAAGGTTCATAGACGCAGACCAAATTTTGATGTATGAATATCTGGGCCGAATTCCATCAGGCACAGCGGATAACTGAGTTAAAGTAATTAACTGCCGTCAGGCAGCTTTTAGTATATTTCGGTTCAGAAGGATACCATACAGGCAGCCCAGGTAGTAGCCTAGTGCCTGTGCTGTTAGTATGGTATTGCGGCTGACATTTCGCAAGGTCGGTCATTGGCTGCAGAACAAAACGCATGCCTACAGAAGTATCAAAAGTCCATTTCGGACCCAAAGCAAAAACATGTATAACCATTCTTTATAAGAGTAGCTCGCCGTAGACATTGTGCATCTGGAAAAAAGTGGTCGCGTTTTGACAAAATATGACAGTACCACAGGTGACCTTGCGCTGAATTCCAGGAGTATCTATTTCCGTGTTCTAACTGTAATCCTAGGTCCTTTAGCCTTCTCCTTACTCACCTTTAATGTCTGCGACTCTTAGTGTGAGTCCACATATCATGTTGAATACCCACTCCAAAGTCCTTCGTGGTAAGTTTTAAGCAAACGTCGGTCTCGTAACAAACTGTGTTGGAAGATCGAAAGAAGGATGTCTGATAGGTGACGTAATACTTAGTCTTCCTCAAGAAAAAAACTTCATTTTACACAAATTTCAAAATCAGCTGGAACGGGCATTTATACGGTTGCCGTTAATGGATAAGGCGTCAGCATTACTTTTTGGGTGAAATCAGCTTATTTTTTCATTTACCAATCAGATCACTGTTTTTATTTGTGAAGCAAAAACACCCCGATTTAAAAATTTCCATTAAATAAAAATTGAAAAGCTTAGACTCAATCCTTTTTATACGTGGCCAGTATGAACACCCCCCAGAAATTCGGACAGCAAATTGATATACGATGTCAAAAGTTTTGACAAAGAATATATAAATATTAAACCTATAGCGTTCGGGAAACCCAAAAGCCAATACTTGCCTGGCGAGAATTTGCCGAGGGTAAACGTATGCTTCCCAAATAGTTTTCCGAACACTTTTATAGAAGATTTTTCTTCGTTAAAATGGACAATTCTACAAGGCTAGCTGATTTCCTAAACAGAAGAAATATCTTTTATAACTGTTACACAGCCGCATAAAATAATAATCCCAGAGAGTAGAATGATCTGTATAAGTAGATGACGTTTGCCATCTTAAGGTAGTCCCTTTTAATGTCAGTTATGAGAATACGCATGTAAAACTCTCAGCAAGCGTTTCTGTTGACACGGGTTTACAAATTTTAACGAAACATTACAAGCTGTCGAATTTTAGGCTGTGACAAGCATCCGATTTTATTAGGAATCCAAGTTGAGACAATAAAAACAACCAAAATATGCAACAGTAAATTCGTCGCACGTTTTTACAAATGAAAAATCAACCGATGAGTATTATACTGACTTCCGATCAGACGGATTTCAGGGGACATTTTGAAACCTTACTGAGTGCTAAACAGCATGCTTCAATCCCATCTAGTGAGTGTTTGCGAGTAGGGGGAAAATATGCATAAGGATATTCTAATTGCCTCCCATCACCTCCTTGGACTTTAAATCTTCCAAGTCTTTTCCCATGTAACCGAGCACTGCATATGGTGACCGGAAAAGCACCAGAGGACATATATCTAGCTAAATTAATTAACTAAAGATCTTAATCTTTTTCTAGTGAGCACTGTCAATTTAAACAGTAAAAGTCAAACTACTCCCTTAGTGTGAGTTGGAATATCTCATTCTAAAATATTTGTGCTACTTTATAGTTTACTAAATAATACGTTACCTAAATGCACCTACATATTGTCAATTTTTGACCTCCAGTATTGACGAAACTTCAAATCTGGGGGTTTTGTTCCAGCAGTTATGTGAGAAAAATAAGTTGAGTTGATTCCGCTGGCGAGAGAGTTTGACATTCAAAAAATCTGACGAGCCAGAAAACAAGATTAGATGTACTGTGAGGGTGTAATAACTAATTTACTTGAACCTGCTGGCCTCAAACACATTCTGAATCATTGATATCTTTTATGCCTTAAAGCGAGTCGAATTCCTTTTGAACACGGGTTACTTGACTTCTGCCGTGGAGCTACCAGGAAGGTTAAGCCAAGGGTACATGTGCATGACAACTTTTATCCCTTTATTTTCATATTTAGTCGGTGCAGTAGGAGCAGCTACGTTCGACTTGTCTGTCGAAGATCACCAATCACACTAAGTTTAATTCTCACAACCAAAAAGGCAATAACAAATTATTATCTAACCACCAAAAGTCGCAAAAGGAATGACTAGCTGTCACGGCAGCGCAGGAGCATATATATTAATTTGGAATATCGAACTGCATAAATTCCAAACAATGAAATACGGATCACGAAAATTTCAACACCAAACGGTCTATATATTGCCAATAGAAGCGAAGAGACGAGTCCCAGGAAGTAATCTTGAAAAAAGAGACACGATCGCCGGGACAAGAGGTATATTAGCCTGACCTTTCGGATTACTACTCGAATCCATCATCAGAGAAAAAAGCAGAAACGGGTGGTTGTCGCACAAGGGGCTCCGGCTGAGAAACCGAAAGACAACTCCGAACGAGAATAGCCGAAAACGCGGTAGCAGTACGCAGAAATGACGCCAACTCTCAAGTTGCGGCACATTCGACGAGATCCGGCCACACATTTAAATTCGATGAGGCCAAAATTCTTGCAAGAGGTGACAACCGCGTGAGCCTGGAGCTACTGGAATCATGGTTTACTGACCCTTAGTCTAGTAACAAGTGCAACGATCTTCCCACTCCATACTGCGTGCTAAAACTTCGCCTAGGCGGAGTAACAAGCCATGCAGGGAGCGCAGAGGTAACCACTTTTCCCAACACCGGGGTCGGTGCGTCAGATGGTCGAGCAATCATGACGCCAACATCCAACGCAAGTGATGAAATTGCAGCAATTATCGACTCGAATGTCGGCCATCAAGCAATGATCACACCAAGTGCGACGATCTCGGATGAAGGAGGGGGAGCCGTGAATATTCATAGGTATGCGGAAGCATGGTTACTGCATCCTATAAATAGCGCAGCCCCTTGTGCAACAACCACCCGTTCCTGCTTTTTTTTCTCTGATGATGGATTCGAGTAGGAATCCGAAACGTCAGGCTAATCAAGCTCTTGTCCCGACGATCGTGTTTCATTCTTCAAGGTCTATACATTGCATTTTAGGTCGCAGTTATTAGTCCCACTGTGATTGAGTACATTAGATTTATGCATCTTTTAAATGTATGACCGCGTTACCGATTACACAGAAAAAGTTTAAATGAAATCTACACTAGGAAATACAAGCATATTAATCAGGTATAAGGTAATTGAGCGCTTTGTAAGCAGTACAAATAAGTGCAAAAGCTCAAAAAGTTGCGGTAGGATTTAGTACGTCTGCATGTTTGGCGTCAAGCACGTCCATTGTTTTACTCAAAATGAGATTTTAAAGGGTTCAACTAAGTTCAGATGTGATATTGGGCCACTGAAATATTGCAGAAAAATGTTTTGCAGGCTGGAGTCTATTCAGACCTTTGGTTGTGTTTAAGAGGACCGTTGAAGTGATTCCTCATAAACTTGTTTGTATTAGACCAAATGCCATGGTTTAAAGTCAAATAAATGTATAACAGCACAACTAACCAAATGATTTCATTTTGAAATGCCAGACTGTAAATATGACGACAAAAGGGTCAAGTGAATTGGGACAAGTGGAATAAGAAACCTTCCTAAGCTCCTAAAATACAAGCATATCCTACGCGAATTCTGGTTTAGTTTATGATACATTTAAGATTAGGACTATTATAAATGAGAAACACGAGAAACAACTTCAAACACATATTCTTTTAAAAATTATGAATTCCGCAAATATTCGAATGTCACATTTGAAGAGTCACATTGGCTAACAAGTGTTTTCGGTAATTCTTCGTCAGACCAATACAATTACATCAAGGAGTGAAAATGTACAAAATTAGCAGTGTTTATAGGGGTCTCAAGGGCAATTAAGTCATTCACATCCATCCTCCCCATGCCGCCCGCATGATGAGGTCGGCGGGTTTTGGTCCTTAGAGCTAGGGGAGGGGCTAAGCGAGTCTTTGAGTGATGCTCTTGGATTAAGTACACGGAGTACCCATCATTGTAGTCAGGGATTTGGGGCGGCATGTCGTCATCACGTAAGGTTGGCGTTGGCCACGGCAGAGCGAGAGAGCTCTTGTGTCAGGGTTTTCTGACAGTATAGCATCGGATCCGCTAGCCGTATAGCCACTGCCTCGGCCGTTGCTAGTATCCGTTGGCGTAGGCCTTTAGAGAAGCTTGTTGGTCTCCGATAGACAACCTGAAATGCCTTCTTGGCATCGACTCAGTGATCCGTATCGATTAAATGTGCGAGAATAGAACTCGAAACCGATCGGGTCTCACCTTTGTCTAGCCAGGCGGGCATATGTTCACGCAGCCTCTTTACCAGACGTCTCGTTGTACGGCCGATGTATACGGCTCCACAGGAGCAAGTGAATGAGCAGATGCACATTGATTTTGCCTCCAACGGTAGTCTATCTTTACCCAAAGACTGCCTTTTGCAGGGGACGCAGCGAACGAACTAGTTAGACGGCGCTTAACTACAGCTGTCACGAGAGCATTCCCCGCGGCAAATTTACGCGTATGTTTCACAAACTCTCCCCTCCTACGTTTGGGAGGTAAAGACAGGCTACCGTTGGAGGCCAAATCAATGTGCATCTGCTCATTCACTTGCTCCTGTGGAGCCGTATACATCGGCCGTACAACGAGACGTCTGGTAAAGAGGCTGCGTGAACATATGCCCGCCTGGCTAGACAAAGGTGAGACCCGATCGGTTTCGAGTTCTATTCTCGCACATTTAATCGATACGGATCACTGAGTCGATGCCAAGAAGGCATTTCAGGTTGTCTATCGGAGACCAACAAGCTTCTCTAAAGGCCTACGCCAACGGATACTAGCAACGGCCGAGGCAGTGGCTATACGGCTAGCGGATCCGATGCTATACTGTCAGAAAACCCTGACACAAGAGCTCTCTCGCTCTGCCGTGGCCAACGCCAACCTTACGTGATGACGACATGCCGCCCCAAATCCCTGACTACAATGATGGGTACTCCGTGTACTTAATCCAAGAGCATCACTCAAAGACTCGCTTAGCCCCTCCCCTAGCTCTAAGGACCAAAACCCGCCGACCTCATCATGCGGGCGGCATGGGGAGGATGGATGTGAATGACTTAATTGCCCTTGAGACCCCTATAAACACTGCTAATTTTGTACATTTTCACTCCTTGATGTAATTGTATTGGTCTGACGAAGAATTACCGAAAACACTTGTTAGCCAAGTTTACTTTCGGTTATGAATTCATCAGTCTCATAATGCATTAGCAGCTACGTTTGTAATTTCACAGTGTAATAATACTTCACAAAATGGGTTTAAATTAATTACTACTGCAATATCGTGTTTAAATGCATTCATACACTGCATGCATCATGTCATAGCGTGTTTGGCAATTGCATGCTGTTCTCATTTTGAGCTTAAAATATCGATAGGAAGCCTTTCTCAGCCGTCCCGTAATTTAGATGCTTTATGTAATGGTGGCACCAGAAACCGGAAGTATAGCTCCAATTGGGTGGCCCAACAACCGTCAGAACTAAGGAGGATTAATTCCAATTCTCAGCAAACGCAACAAGGTCCGGTATCGTCTTCAAAGCTGACAATGCCAAAATATTCTATGAAGAATAGCTGTGTAAATTGTAAGCCTCTGAATCATAGCCTATGACCCATTATTTTTAAATAAATTTAAAGATACACTTCCCGTAATTCAACTCTTCCCATCCGTTTTTACTGAACAAGTATCCACCAGTAATACCAAAGGTGGCCTTGACACAGAGAGAGTGTGGTACTACTAAACAAGAACGCTTGGGCAGTATTAAGTAAACCACCAACATGTGGATTTAAGTGAACATAGTATATGGTTTAAACGAAGAGGATCTGCGTTTATTGTGGAAGGTATTAACTTGTTGGCTTCTGGTAAATGCTAGTGTATCTAAGAAAATTCGCAGGTTTTGTGATTATTTTCTATTGCTCTCTTCCATCTGCTGATTGTAAATTATGGGTCGGGTCATAAATCCTAATTATAAGGCAAATAAATTTACTGCTCTGGCAGTTAGGTCTCCTAGCGTGACAGTAGGTTTTTGCTGATAAAGGACGTCCATTATTTTCGTCCTCTAACAGTTCACAGGGACAAATTTTTCACCAGTTTACCATTCCCCCAACGCCAGGTTAAAGGGTTTGCAACTCAATAGCCTTCATTTTTAATTCAGCCAGACTGAACTGACATTAGGCCGCGGTAACTAATCATTTTGGCCTATTGAATATAATATGTTGCTCATGAGTCCCTTGTTTGCAATATGGCAATACTGAAATACAAATTTATATTTAGGAAGAGTTACAGTGCTGATTTGGAGCAAAAATACGCGCGTCCTTTTCGTTTAGCTGCTTATCAAGGACTCCTTTTTCAAAATCATGATATAATTTCTTCTGAACATATAGTATTATTCACGATCGAGGGTTTAATTACCTATTACCTTCAGATATATGCCTTTCTAGCGCTTAATGGGTGAAATGTCGAAATGCCCAGTCTGCGATACAAAACCCAGCAAATATACTCTTAAAGTCCATAAGTAAATGGTGACTTCTGCAGTGGGGTTCATTAATCCGAAGCATTGCGAAAAACCTCTGTGAGGTCATTTATCAACAACCTTAAATTAGAATTTCTTCCTATCCACACTGACAACTAGTAACTTGACGCCGCCCGAACATCACTATTCTTAACAATCCCAAGAAACAATTTAAAGTGCTTTCCTCGCCCACGTAGATGGTCCTGTCACCCACTTACACTGACTTATATTTCTGCTAGCCTAGAAGAGGTTTTGGAGCGCTCCTGATACACATTTCATACGTCTGAAGCAATTTGATTGGTCTAGAGTTCAAAGCGACGACAAGTTAAGTTTGCTAGTAGAAATTTCCGCTAGAATGGAGCGATTATGTCAATTTGTTTTCAGTAAACAGCCATTCTAGCTGCCAGTTTAAGCTGTCAGTCAACTGGAGAAACACATTCAGTAGTAAAAATATGATTGTTCTCTACTACGTTTCTAGTGGGAACGTCGATTTTGGCTGCAAAATCGAGTGCTGCGAATTACGACTATGCACAGACTACGTTTGCATTTTTTTGATAGTAAATGCGGGCAACGGCCAATGTGAATAAAAAGGCCACTTTCGACTTATTTGTCCTCGTCAGGCAGTCATATCTCAGTTCTGGACACAAAAAGTCAGCATTCATGTTGTATTTGCCTTGTTGGTGGGCCCAACACTCTGTCCTTTAAATGTCGACTTATGCTTTATGGGTTCTGATCTCGAGACTTCCCGAAGTTGGGTCGCGAATGGTTGGCTTATTACAAAAAACAAACTAGAAATTAGGCTTCCTGTCCTGGGTGACCTAGCCGGCAAGACTTCTTAATGAGGGATCTGTTAGCAGAAAGCGGCCGCTCATGAATTGGGCTGCATAGGAAATTCATCGTGCGATTTCGTTTGTTTATTTAGCGCAACTAAGTGAATGGTTGTCCTACCTTAATATGAAAACGTTAAAGCTATCTATTTGAAGTAATGCTGCCTAAAAGATATTTTGCTACTTTTAAGTCTGCCAAAAAATGTTTAGACACAGAACAGACATCTTACCTGGAACAATATCACCAAAGCCAATCGTTGATAGGGTAACGAAGCAAAAGTACGACCACTTGAGGTAATTGTCATCTTCCCAAATGCAGAAAACAATGGCCCCGATGAGGATATACGTAGTCATTATCGATATCGAAAGACTGAGTGGCACAGTGACGTTAGAGATGTCTTCCTGTGACACATTTGAGGCTTTGAGGTCTCTCACCTCACCATCCGATCTCCTGAAACTTTGAAGGCTGTCGCGGGAGTAGTAGCTCACTTGGAACCGCATGTCGCTAGTCGAACTGGCCATAGATGCAAGTATTGAGAGGCGTGATCTATCCAAATCGTTCGAGTATCTACATCTGCTTTCATTCGTCGTTTTTTGCTGACAATTTCGAAGTGAACCGGAACTCCTCGCATTCATCTTGAGTTTGCGAATGGATTGGTGGTGCGCGGGCTTTGGGTTCCCAGTCGTTTTTTCAATGAAATTAGTTTGACCGCTAATATCCGTGTTTGATGGAAAAGAAGCTTTATCAGTGACAGGAGAGCCTGCGCATACGTGATTCAACTCCAGAAACATGTCATTCTCTCCAGACGATACGGAGTGCAGTTTTCGCTGCCCCTGGCAGAAACCTATGAAAGTGTTCTCATTTTCAGGGTTATTTAGTGGTCTGGGAATTTTTTCATCATAGTCCTCAGGATGTACAGAAAACGTGGGGCAGCTGGTGATGAGTGGAATTGACGGTTGTTCTGCCGTCTTACCGCTGGCCGAATAGTCTGACCCTGCGTAGGCTGACAGAGGACCTCGACAAGTTCTCATGTCGGCTGCCTGATGTAGAGTCCTTCGCCGGTACCTCTTCCTACGTTGCCGCCTTTCTCGTCGATAACACAGTAGGTATCGGCAGGTGGCAAATGATTTTAATAAGGACTTAGAGGTTAGCGCGTCCAAGGGGTCAGCATGAAGAATGGTCTGTGTGCCGCTATTATGAAGCCCAAAATCACTTGGAAGCTGCTGCTTGCGCAAGAAATCTCCACTCCTTGCTGGACTGCCTTCGAGGACGTTGTATGATTCCGATTCGTCGTTCTGCAATCTCAGGGTGTTTTGGACTTTGGATTCATCTGTGTGTGTTTTGGGTGTGATTTCATCTTCGGGCTGAAATGGGGTAAATTATTTGCAGTAAATAAAATTGTTTTGAAACCCTGCAGGACCTAAACAGTAGACTTAGATAAAAGGACATATGAAATGTCGCTGATAGAATCGAACAGGCGAGCTCCAGGTAACAGTTCAAAAGATGAAGATGCGACCACTGGATGAAACAGTTTATTGGCCTGACGTTTCAGATTCTCACTCGAATCCATTATCTGCGAATGCCTGTGATGATGGATTCGAGTGAGAATTTGAAACCTCAGGCCAATAAATTTCTTGTTCCAGTGACCGCATCTTCGTCTTCTTATGCGGAACGTCGTTAAAATTCTTTATCTCGGAACTGATCCTAAGCCTCCAGCATATGAATATAACAGTTTTAAACTGTGAGTTTCAAGATGTTTAGTTGGAATAATACCGCCTCTACTATTGAGAAAGATAATGGGTTATTAAAATCGTGAATTAACGCGAATGTATAAGTTGAGTAAATGTTGATTGATCGGTAGAGTTTACCTGAGAGGAATAACATATGCATCAGTCTTAGAATAAAGGCCTCGGTTATTCCTTAAAAACCAGCCTCCACAAAAACATAGAAGGGTGCATTGTTGTAAAATAAAGTAAGCTACACTTGAGAGTAACAACAGATATCACAGGATTCATCCAACATCATTATAAGTCGTCTGAAAAAACCCAAGTATCTTGAAATGAACGTCAAGTTCTGCCAAATTAGGAAACGATCGCAAATATGCAAACCAAGTGTTTTTGCATTCATTTCATAAAGGAGACGTATTGGGCAGATTAGTATAATTCAAGATTCCGGGGTCTCTGCGCAGAGGCAAACAGACAGCTGTCTTTAAGAAGTCAGGCAAAATTTTTTGAACGTGAGTCTTCCAAAATAGTCAGGGCAAGGATGGGGTACAGGACCCCTGGCATCTGGGCCATACAACGATCACCAACTAAACTTATTAAATTGCTTTTTAGTTCGACATGATTTTTTCGGTTTGGTGTTTCAGCGCATAAATTCGGATCGTCTGTTGTACAAGGTCTGGTGCATTACTTTTAATGACCTCAACTAGGAGACTCAAGAAGTGATCGGTGCAGAAATTTAACGTTAATTTTTAATTGTCCTGCTTGACTTAGTTTACTATATTTCAATGCACTTAAGCGCTTCCGCTCGAAAAACGAATTAACCAATTATCTATACTTATTTTGCCATTCCTCTATTCATGCATAGGTACCGCCTGTAAAATCCCTATTACCACCTTTCCCATAAAACAGGCAACTTTAGCTGTTCGTGTGTGTTTGCGTTCCTTCACCCAATCGTTGCCAATGTCAGATCCAAACTGTAAAAATTTTAAAGACCCAGTTAAATACGTTTCAGCAACTATTTCAATTTTACCTTGAAATAACAACTGATTTAAAGGCATTACTAATAGACCAGCACACGGCAATACATAACACCTTTCTTGTACACAAGCCTTTTCAAAAACCTATGGACTGTGTGCAATAGGAGATTAGTCACTGAAGGACGCAAGCAGCCTTGCCACTTGCTATGCCTTTTATATTAAATCGTGCTCCTATTTGCCGGATGCAACCGACCCTATCTTCCAGTTGTTCATCCACCAGAAAAAATCCGAATGGCTGGCTCATGGCCAACGGAGGAACCGATAGGTTTAGTGTTAGAAAGCCTTATGCGGCAAACAGTAACCTTTCATACTCCGTAATCTGGCGATTTATATTTCGTTTTGGATTACCATATCGTTAAATGGGCTGTAAATTCCTAATTGTGATCTTTCGACTTGCATAAATACTTTCAAATAGACCGGAACTGTTGAGTAAATGTTAGTAGTCACTAGCATTACTTTGTAATAAGAAGTGACTTGAAACGTTTGTAAACATCGTGAGGTCAGTAACCTTTGTCAAGTCCGCTTGATAGGTTGCTGGTGAGGTAACAACATTTGGACATTTTACTTGGCAACTCCAGTACTAAAAATACTGTCATCTTTATGAAAGTTTTCTGCCCAGTTCCGAAATACGTAACCTAAAGGTCATTTTACTGTAGATGCCAATTATTCCATAGTTCACCCTAATGTTCATATTATTTGTCTATAAGGTGCTCTTGCTGCAGATTACATAAAAACAACAAAGTTTATTGGCCCAGGACTGTCTTGAAATCCAGAATTAAGAGGTGTAAGAAGCCGAAGTGCAGTGTTTGTAATTAAGAGCACACCTGAATGATTACGAAAGCGCATCTTTTCTATGATATAATTTATAGATGTGATAAGATTTTAAATGCTTTGTGAGTCATGAACTGTCTGAAGAAATTCTCTAATAAGATTGTTAGAAAGGCTGATTCTAGTGCGACGGGGGTATTAGAATCACTCAAGAACCTGTTTATGCAAAACAACACTAACCGATAACCGTCCACAGTCGCATTTCTTGACTCGCACTCGCATTCAATACCACCCATGATAGATCGACTTTTTTCATGCTCATACAACAGAGCAATCTATATCTTTTGTAATGTGGCAGTAGTAGAAGCGCGGAAACACGCATTGCGATCAAAACCGCACTTTGCAAATTAAAAGACACCCATTTGTTCACAATGCAAAAACGATATGCTGTCAATTTATTTTTAAGCCATATGAGTATAAGATATGCCTAAGGAAAATAAGTTATTTAAGCTTTGCAATGCATAGTAGATGCCGAGCAGTTATTGGCAAATCCAATTCCAGTGTCTCTTTAGTCAAACTGCCGATGGAAAAA